ATACATCTTGTTCATAACAGCATTTGAGATCATACACAATTGTGGTTCTGGCCTTCCAAATCTGGGTATCATGTCTACGTATCTACAGGGATAGGCAAATCTTTTAAGAAAAATGCACAATGCCTCAACCATGTCGACATTTACACCATTGTAGCAAACGATCCGATCCGGTAAAGTAAACACCTCTGCCAAGTTGTAAATGTCATTCTTGTAAAATCTAAACTCAGTTTTACATTCATCATCGGTCATCTTGTCGAGATCGAAGCACTCGTAGTTAGTGTACGGTAAATCCGGATTTTTAGGCTTGTGTAAATCGTAGAGTAGCACGAATTCTTCAGCGTTAATCAAACGGGAAGCATGAGCCAGGAGAATAGTGTCACGGAACTTTGGCATGCCTTTCTAAAAAACTTTCGTTGACTTAAACACGATAAACATCGATGACCGTCGTCAACGTTCTCGCTCGTAAAATTCGTAATCTCAATTTTGGCGGGAACGCCAACACGACGTGGCCCCGCTCGACCCAGACTTCTCACGTTGCTGTTGCCGTCGCCGTTGTCGGATCGTAAGGTCCCTATTAACATTCGTTAGCCAAAGAAGTTCTTCGCTGTCTGCACTGAGGTTCACATCATTTGCTGTTAAAAAACCGCTTTTTTAGTCGCTGAAAGTTCCGATTTTGCTGCACATTAAGCACTTACAAGTTGTAGCCAGGTTAGGGTTTTCCTCTGGCGTTGGATTGTGTTGCGTAAGGTTTGTTTACGTACAGGACGGCAACGTCATAGCTCGCGTGCTCGACCTAGTCCTCACGCGAACACAAGTCGCCGTCCTCTTCGGGCCGTCCTGTTGCGTAAGGTCTCTAATAATAGTCAGACCCTGGAGGATGATCAAGAACCGACGAAACGTCTACGTAGAGATTGTGTTAAAATCAAGCCGAAAGTACCCCGAAAGAAGTGCAAGACGTCAAACATTAAAAAAAGCCTTGATGTGTTCTGTATGACGTTTACGCAGATCTCAAGGAAGAAACTGAACGGTAAGAGTTAATTTTTGCAACATTTACAGTCTACACGTGTAACTTGGATCGAAATATCCTTATAAATTAGGTTTACGTTTAGATTCCCTTCAAACTGAGCAAATACGAGACTTTCCTGTTATCCACAAATAAAACAAAGCTGTTCATATCCTGCGATCAATCTGTTCACGGCAGGTGGAATGGTTACCTTCGTTCCCTTGGGTAATGAAAGGAGACGTTTAGAAATGGAACATGAAATGAATGTCCCAAGATTAATCTTGGGTCAACAGCGTCCGCAAACCTGCAACGCCTGGTCAGTTTTTCCCAAACGAGAGTGCTTTCTGCTATGGTCAGTTTTATCCCGTGACGTCAGCCACTTCTAGTTATCAATCATCTATCCCTATTAACCTTGGTATGGACGAAGTGTCCCTTGACTCAGATGGCTCAAGCTTTACTACCTTGTGATAGATGTAGTGAAACGAGTAATGATTAAGGGTAGATTTACGATTGCCACAGACTGTGTTGGTTTCTGATGACTAATTTTCTTTTATTGCCTTTAAATGAGACAAAATGTTGCGCTGTACAAAGCTTTTCTTCGGTAAAGCGAATTTACGGCAAAGTGGAATAAAATTGTTCAGATGGTAAGTTGCTTGTAGAAGCATTTAACAAAAAAAGAACTAGAAGTAATGTTATTCGAAGTTTCCATGTATTCAACATCATTATCAACAATGAAAAAAGGTCTACAAAGTTGTTAAAAGAGTGACTTGAGTTCCTGTTTGAACAACATTTCGTCAACAAATTTGGGTGCCTTGTTGACGAAATATTGCTCCCACGCAGGACCTCTCAAATTTTTCGTAATTTAATATGGAGAAATAGCAGAAATCACAATTTTTGCTGGGTATCCTTCTACCTCCTTTAACCCTTGAATTTGCGATTTCTCCAATTTTTCGCAGTTTTTTGCTGCCGCTTGCAAACTTGGACATATCTCTTCTTGCATGCGTAATGAGCCGTACCACGTGAATTCACACGCGAGGCAGTTATGAATTTCTGGCAGCTCACTTTCCCTGAATTTGATGTAAATGTCTTCTAAGAAATTTAATCCATTCAAAGATTTTCAATCTGACCTAAACAGAGAAGTTCTCGTAAAATATTCACTGCTCATTACGCATGCGGAAATGCCGATTTGAATTTGACACTAGTTACGGGAACGACTAACGCATTCATTTTTCAAATAATCAATTCATTAACAGAATTTTGGGGGGTACGCTTGACCTGCCTTAACTGTAAAAGTGCAATCAGACTCAAATCACGCGTAGTTATTCTATTAGCGCATTTACATAAAAATCAATCTAATGAATTGAATTCAAATCTCCACTCTTATCACAACAATGTCGCTTCAGGTTTTTCATTCTTGAAAATCAGTGATGTTGGATACATCGAAACGTCGAATACCTTTAATTGTTATTTTTCTTGTTCTGTGTATGACTACTTTTATGCAATAACCGCATTTCGGATTGTGTGATTTTGGGTAGTATTCGATTTCTATCGCGTATGTCGTGCTTGCACAAACAAACACGAGGTGCGTACATTGTTCAGTCAGTGGAGCCGGGAAGCAGAAATATAAAAAAAATGAACACAACAAAATCAAGAGTTGTTTAGGTTCACGCAAACCAAAACTCCACAGTGTCGAAAAAGCGAGCATATGGAACATGAGCTTTAATTTTGGTCCCACACTAATAAGGTACCTCTGATAATAATGATACTGTATTAAACGTTAACGAACATTTAGATGATGAAAATGTTTCTTTACTCTCCCGACTGATTGTTGACATTTTCATTAACTCGAAAATTTATTGGTATATTGAATTTTTTTCCCTATGCAAAAATCTTTATTGACCACACAAAATTAAAATGTCAGTTTAATTTCTGTAATGATTACACAATCGTTTAATTGACGGAAATTTTGACGCTAATGAAAATTTATTTCATGGTAATGAAGGGCGGCAGGAGTAATATTTTCAGTGCGAACGATGTTCGCAGCTTCCAATCTTCGCTCAGAACTTTGTTGATGTTCCTATGTTCAGTACCACAAGCCCGGAGAAACATTTTAACATGGAAGGTAATCTATTTAAAAAAAAAAAGAAAGTCGTTACCATATTAAGTTCGCCGGAGACTTTGTCGTGCAAAAGCAAAAAAAACATGTTGCTTAAACTGCAGTTTTTTACAATAAAGTTGTGATATATAATGTGTAACGTACTGTGAGCTCAGAAACGGCTCAATACAATGGGTAAAACTTTACGCTACCGACGGGACTGTCAAGAGTTCTGTTGCACGCAATATTTCATTTTTGTTAAAAAAAAAAGAGAATTTAAGATGTCTGGTTGACGAACTGTGTAATCTCCTCAGCGGCTCGGGTCCGGAGTTTGATAGACTATTCATTAAAATTACCCAGTACGTTAAAGGCTTGAACTAGACAGAAGAAGCTAAATAAAGAGGAAAAAGTCCCTTCACTTTCTTGCGTTCTACTAATAAAGAGGACAAGCTGGCTCCAAAAGAAAATTTACATAACATAACATTTTATGATGAATCCGTTTCTTATTTGTTTCCCAAAATAGAGATATAATTGTCTTTTCATTGCATATCGTTCTCTTTCGAGTTTTCTTTGATATTATAACCTTCTGTTCAGAGATTAACTCAATAGGCGCGATGTTACTAAGTTTTGATTAATTTTGTAACTTATTTCACCGATATTTAAGTAAGAACAATATTAAGCCATTATTCTACTTGTACTGAAAGAAATAGACCAATTTCAGCGTCTAGCCACCGAAGGACAGCTAAAACCTGGACAATGCAGCAAAAAGCGCTGCATTTTAGTTGATCCTTTTACGTTTTACAATGGCTTACGCGTTTCAGATTAATTATTTTTTACTTTTTATTGAGAGAGGCAGTTTACCGATTAATCGGCATTTTTAATAATCACTGTCATTATCTTATCCTCAGTTTATCCAACGGGATTATCCCGTTTTGATCCAAAATGGAGATAATAATAATAATCAATTATACGCCGTCCCATTTCGAAATTTCGTCGCCGCTGTCTCCTTATGATCAAAACTTAAAGGCGCCATATTACCAAGTTTTAATTTATTTTGGCAGTCACTCACTGATATTAAAAGAAGAAAAAAAAGCACAAAAATCAGTAAATGCCACTTAAAGACAACCACAAAACCTCGCAAGAACAACATTCATGCATTTCGGTTAGTTTGAGATTGCAGTTTAATTTGTAAATCATTCAAAAAGGCGTAAATTACTTTTTCGTTAACAAAAGGAAGTAAATTATAATTAGACCAATTTCAGCCAAGTGTAATCCGCTATTCAAATTATAAGATGAGTAAATGAGTAAGGACAGCTCGTTATAAAATGGTGTAAGCCACTTCTGGTTTTCAGATCAAAAGAGCTGGTTTAGGGGTTACGCTGGAAAAGAGCTGTCTTTACTATTACTTTATTTATTTTTGCTACACAGATAGAAGAAAGACTGAAACTGTGAGCTAAAACAAGATCAATTCTTCAAATCTAAGTAACATTTCGATCCTTCCCTCTGAGGCAAACTGTCGTATTTGGAAAGAAGAGTACCACCAGGAAAACTACGTCTCCACTCTAGCAGCCGTCATCCTCAACATAGTCACTTGTCCAATGACTGTTTGCTTGAATCTTCTGGTGGTAGTTGCTGTAAAAAGAAAGCCCAGAATTCAGACTATGTACAACATTCTGTTGTGTGCTTTGGCGGCAACTGACCTGGTGGTGGGAGCTGTAGTGCAACCGAGCTTCATTGTTCAAGAAATGTCGCTGATAAAAGGTTCTTCATTAACCGTTTACTGTGCTGTATATAATAAAGTAGTGTTCCTTTTTCTCGCCCCCTGCTTAGCATCACTGTCGCTACTAGCATTGCTGAGTATAGAGCGTTACTTGGCCATGAAATATTCCTTACGATACCAACAAATCATAACGACGTTTAGGGTGGCCACTGCTGTTATTAGCTGCTGGGTTGTCGCACTCCTTCCTCCAGTTTTCATTTATTCAGCCAGCCTGGCCGCTCAGGGTTTGTCTATAGCCGTATCGATAGTGTTTGTGAGCCTCGTTGCGATCTTTTACTGCCACATCTCTGTCTATTCAGTAACTCGTCGCCACACCCGTCAAATCAAGTCCCAACAAGTTTCGCAAGACGCGGCGAAGAAATTCCTGGAGGATAAGAAGGCTGCGATAACCACCACCATCATCGTTGGGTTTGCGGTATCTTCATTTGTGCCGTCACTGGTGTATAGATTCATGCCCCCACTTCCTCTTCACAATTACCTTGGCAATCTATTTATCAGTTTTAAGCCCCTCTTGCTATCTTGTGTCTTGATCAATTCACTGTGCAACCCTATTATTTACTGCTGGAGAAGCTCAGTTCTTCGAAAAGCCATGTTGGAACTACTTGGAAAGAAAAACACTGGATAGACAGTTACCCAAGAAGACTGTTCCAAGTAAACTGTAACTTAACATATATGTGCCGTTAAGGATAAATTACCCGATGCTGCTGATTTATTTCAATCTTTGCTTTATTTGTTTTTCGTAGATCTTTCAGCTTTCTTTTTATTTCTTACCCGTAAGAACCCTGGTATCAAAACTTTACATTTCCTATAGAAGCAGTGAAGAATTGTCAAAGTATAGAATTCACCTTGTGTAATCATGTCCTTACTTCTCATCACCAGCCTGTCTCACAACCGATGCTGATCACTCTTAGGCCCGGTTCAGACGCCGATCTTTTCACGAGCCGATTCTATTACATTGAATTAAGTACATGAAAAGTTCGGCGTCTGAATCATGTAACATACAAAGCTTTAGTGGGCATCAGTCCTTCTCGATCTATAACTTTTGTGAGTCAGTTGTATCCTGGATCGCTGTCAGATAAGGAAATAGTTTCCAGGTGTGGTATACTACACCCAGAACTTTGGGAGAAAGGGGATTCAATTATGGCAGACAGAGGATTTACAATCCAGGAATTACTTGACCCACTAGGAGTTAAGTTAAACATACCTGCATTTCTTGATGGCAAAGAGCAGCTTGACAAAGAAGATGTTGTATTTGGGCAAACAATTGCCTCTGTTAGAATCCATGTAGAACGTATTATTCCTCACATCAAGAAATTTAAAGTGAAATTCCACTAAATATGAACGGGACCATAAACCAAATATGGACAGTGGCTTGTCTTCTATGTAACTTTATGGACCCGCTTATTAAGCAATAATGTTATGTAATATATCAAACATGAGATGCAGTGTTTCATCACCAGATGAAACACCGAGAAGAGAGTTGAAAATACGACGCGCAGCGGAGTATTTTTGACGAACTTCGAGGTGTTTCATCTGGTGATGAAACACTGTGTCGAATGTTTGATATTTCTTCTCAAACAAAATCATTTTTGAAGGAGAAATTAAAGATGCAAATACTAAGCAGTGTTTCATCCGATTTCCAAACACTCATTAAACATTAATTTCCTTTGTATTTTCTTAATGAATTATTAATGAGTTTGAGAAGGTTTTATCATCATTTCCTTCAAAGTGCCCAATGATTTACAAGGGTCAAGTCGGTTTATGAATAAATAACAAAACTGAATTTTCCCTTTTTCAAGACTAACTAGCATTTCTTTTGTCAATGAAAACACTTTCCCTTTTAGAATATTTGATATTTTGCAATAATTGAATTTCCACGATTTTCCAACAGTACCTTTCTTGAGATTATTGCACAAATCATTGCTCTCATAGAAATTGAACAGAAATTGTCAAGTAATTGCTGAACATGTAATACTTTTAATATTCTTGCCATGGAAGTCATCTTTTTTAAGAATTCTATGAAATACTCCTTCTCGTATATTGTCAATAAAATACAGTAAAAATCTGCATACAAGAACCTAGATTTTTCCAGCTTAGCCTAAATAGGTTCTTATAGAAATGTTATTTAGTGGGATTCTAGGCTACTTAGGTTCTTAAACAGGTTCTTAATTTGATAGGGGCACTAGTGATCAGCACAGATAACTACTCTCGCGCATATGAGAGAGACACGTGGATCTGTATTCTTAATAATTGCATTGTGTAATCCAGTATGGGCAAAGACATAATATGGTTTTCATTTCAGTTCATTGTTTGAATCTTACTGACTGAAACCCTAAAAGTTTTTCTCCGTATTTTCATCTTTGTAAAATATGAACCTATTGAAAATTTTAGGCTAAATAGGTTATTATGAAAAGGGGGTTTCAAATAAACATTTTAGCCTAACAAGTTCTTAAATTTTAGGTTTCTTATACGTGGGTTTTTACTGTACTGTAATAACATTGCAACTAGCAAAGTAACCTTATCCTTGAAGCCCTAACACCCATCAACAGGAGTCTAAAAGCTAGATACTATGGAAAACTGGTACACGTTGTAATGTCATCGTTTGTTCAGGTACACTGCACAGTATACTAAACTGCATTTAGGCCAAGACCTGAGGAAGAAACCACTTTACATAGAAGATGTTTACTTTACATACTACTTGGTCAAAATAATCTTTATTAAATGGAAATTCAGATAAAAAAAAACAAATGCTTCAGAGGATGGACACTATGGACAAAGCCTACTCCAACTCTATGGAAAAGCTTACGTCAAATATGGAGAAGCTTACAGGATCTATTTCAGATGGATTTGCTTTACTACAACGCATGATGTGCCAACCACGCAATAACATGAACATGAATCCTCAATTTATGATGCCATCTCACCATCTACAAATGTACCCAAGACCACAAACATCAGCTCAAAGCACAGAGAGCAGATCTCACCACAATGGACAGTTTTCATATACACAAGCTCTTTTTTCAGATAATGACACAACATTTTAGTTGGTTGATTAGAAGTGTATTGGAGCATATTGTTTTCATATTTCAGTAGATGGCAATTCTAGTTTATGATGCTCAGGGTGCAGGTTGCTATGGGTGCCCAAAGAAGATTATTGAACAATTTTGCTCCAAAACACTTAAGTGTATTACTAACGTTCACATATTAAGGGAACACTTTATTGTTGCAGTTAACCCATAGTAAAAGTTCATATGTACTTTTTATTACGAAATGTGCTTACATGACAAGTTACAATTTCATAGATTTCAGAGTTTCCCAAACATTTTTGCAACTTAAAAAATGCATTAAAAATATAAATTTGTAGAAGTGTTATACGTTGCTAATAACTTCTTATTCTGATGGTTTGTATGAGGTCCTTTTTTAGACCAATAATAAACTATTTGACCTATGTATCTTTCAAAACAAGTCTTCTTGATTGACTGAGGCTTAATGTGCATAAAAGGAATTTGCTGGTAGTTTACTGTTAAAATGAAGCTATTAGACTTTTATTACCAATAACTCTTTCGAGGCCTCAACCAGAAAAAGGGTTACTAAGTAAAAAAATCAACTATGAAACTAACAATTGATTATTATTGCCCTCTTTGAATGTCATGTAAAACCATGCTGATTGTTTTTTTCCGCTATTTCAAAGCTGGGGATTATTACTTACTATTGAAGTGTTTCACTAGATCTATTACTTCATTTTCAATTTTTGGCAGATGTATATACTTATTTCCAAGGTGTAAACTGATGGCTTTGCATACTTTACGTATTATTTTAGAAGTTACCTGTCTTGAAACTCCAAAAGCATTGGCTGTCTTTCGAAGTCGACCTTCGTCGCTCAAGTAATATAGAGTTAAGGCAACTTGCTTCACAACATCCACAGGAGAACGCATGATGGTCTCTTTTCCCTCAATGTACGGTCTCAACTCTTCTGCTAGCTTCAGCAATGACGTTTTACACATTCCAAAATTCTCTCTCCATTCTTATTCGATCATTGTGCCATTGATAAAATTGGAAAACTGAAAGCAAAACTACAGCTTTTGGAGCTCACCCACGAGATGACAGAGGGTATTATTAGTACCGGGATCACCGAGAAAATTCGTCGACATAAAAAAGCTTTACAGAGCATTGTTATCGGCGCGGAAGAAATAAAGAGAGAGGTCGAACAAGCCAAGCTTGAAGGTGTGGAGGCCTTAGACAAAGTTAAAGAATGGGGGAAAGAATTCGAATTGAAAATCGACGCCGCAGATAGGGAGAGAACCTTACTCGAAGCTTATCAACGCCCTTCGCAAGTGGAAGGAGATTCACCCGCGTGAAATCGCGAAATCCCGTGACAGAAGCTTTTACGTAGAAGACCAAGACCCGAATGCACCACGGGGGTGTGTTTCCTGCAATAACACCTCACACAAGCCTAGTGATTGTACAGTTACCTCAAGCGCCGCCGATAGGAAGAAATTTCAAGAAGAGAAAAGGCTTTGTTTTAATTGCACTGGCCCTCATCGAGCAGCTCGCTGTCGAAGCTGAGGAAACTGCGCTCGCTGTAAGCAGACGCATCACAGATCTATCTGTGATCAGCCTACCCGACCTGCAAACGAAGGAGCTGCAATGACCGCCGCACACGTGGGGGAGAAAGTCTGCCACCCAGTAGTTATAATCAAGGTCAATGGAGTGAAATGCCATGCGTTACTTGACACTGGGGCCACTGGATTTACGTATCAGCCTTCTTGGTGAATCTCCTGAAAGTAAAGCCTTCTCGCACCCTGACACGTGGTATTAAAATAATCACGGGATTGATCACCAAGCGTGTCGAGACCTAAGATGTGAAGATATGCGATACACTAGAGAAGTGCGTGCTACCAGTCTGCGTGACGAAAATTGAACAGCACCAGCTACTTACCCTGGAGAATCCTAACTATCCTGAGATGCTGGGGCGATATCCACATCTTAAAGGTGTCCGAATGGAAGAAACCGACACAAAGGAACTCCTTCCCATCCATGTGATACTGGGGACAAATGAGTACACGAAGATCAGGATGGCCGGTTATCAGCGCGCAGGAGCCGTGGGCGAGCCTATTGCCGAGCAGACCAGGTTCGGGTGGACGATAATGTTATCAGGTGCTGAAGTTGACTCTCAAAACATGTTCTTGACACAGACCTCAATTGGAGGCTACGAAGAACTGTGCCGTATGGACGTATTGGGATTGCAAGACACGCCTATCGGAGATGAGGACGTTGTGCACAAGGAGTTCCTTGAACAGCTTAAACGCAGTCCAGAGGGATGGTACGAAACTGCGCTCTCTTGGAAAGGTGGCCATCCCCCCTTGCCTAATAATAAGACCGGAAGCCTTAAGCGCCTTGCCTCACTAGTACAGCGCCTAAAACGGAACGGCAAACTGGAAGATTATGATGCCATAATACTGCAGCAACTAGAAGAAGGCGTTGTTGAAGAAGCCGAAGTGCCCGCCCAAGTGAAGGAATTCTACATTCCTCACAAGGCTGTTATCAGAGAGAGTTCAGAGACGACGAAAATGCCAATTGTCTATGACGCCTCCGCCAGAGCCTATGATGAAAAGGCGCGGAAAA